CCACTGCCCTGACCATTGGCCCACCCCAGGCCTCTTCTTCCTCTCACACTCCCTGTCTGCTAGGTTTAATTTTTGTGATCCTAGGAATTGAAGCCAGGGTCTCCGGCACGCAAGGCATGCACCCTAACCCAGCGCTGCAACTCTGGCCTGCCCTGCTGTGGCACAGCTCCAGTGGTGGTGAGCAGCACACACCCTGAGCTGGTTAGTTGTGGTATGCACGTGTGCTGGGGCTCGTTCCTGTTTAGCACCCACACGGGCCTCCTGCTTTGTGCTGTTTGGTCCTCAGCACAGCTGCCATTAAAAGCTGCTTCGGCCTCACACTGCCCCAGGTTGACACCTCTCTGGGTGGACTCCAACCTCTAGCCTCACAGTGAAGTATTCCTGACATGCTTCACATGTAAATGACTCACAACCACAAGGGAGCGGGGTGGAGAGGGTAATAGGCAGGAGGGTACAGAGGATGGGGTTCCAGGAGATGGAGGGCCCCCAACAAATCAAAGGTAGATGAAAATGCTACGAGGACACTTATGACTTTTTTTTTTTTTTTCCCCTGAGACAGGGTTTCTCTGTAGCTTTGGAGCCTGTCCTGGACTAGCTCTGTAGACCAGGCTGGCCTCGAACTCACAGAGATCCACCTGCCTCTTATTACTTTCTATACGGTGATTTACAATTTTTAATGCATGGTGATAAGAGAGAAAAATACTGCAAAAGCCAAACTGAGCTGTGCTTGGCGGCCCCTTCAGTTTCAAAGGAGAAGTATTCATCACAAAGTTCCTCTATCTTCTGCTGGACAGTTTGTGGGGCTCCCCAAGTGCTGATTAGAAAACAAACTGGAAATGGGGGGGGTGCCGCAAAGATCTCCACATTACAAGGGAGCAGAGGCAGAGAATATTGAGTGCCATACCCTGACCACCAGGTTGTAACTCTTAAATCCAGCCCAAGTGAAGTACTCTTTTATCCAGGACGAGTGAAGGAAGATTTCGTCTTCTACAGCAGAATGCAAGGTCTTCAGGTAGGGGCCAAAGTCCCAGGAATCCTTGTAAATTTTTGTCCCTTCTGGAGGCTCCACGATGCCCTTGCTTAAAGACACAAGGAGGAGGAGGGTCAGAGAAGCAGGCAGCAAATAACGAAGGCAAAACTAATGCTTTGAAGAAAACTCCACCAGAAAAGTAGTTTCGAGATGGGTGACTGACTCCCAGGGCCCAGCCTAGCCTAAGCCACACCATTTCCCACACACTATTTAGTGGGCAAGGTTCCCAAGTCAGAGTTCATTGACCAGTCTTGTGTATGTCTGAAGATACAAAGCTACAAGACCCCTGATGTGGACCCTTTTGCTCCAAATAACTAAGTGACGGACGTGTTGAATGTGATCCACGTGTATTGACTTTGGGGACGCGGCACACAGCTGCCTCTGCATCCCAATTGCCAAAGGCATTTGGTGAAAGAAGCAAAAGCAATTGGGACATTTCCTGCTAGGAGTGGAGGAGACTCCCAAGACTCGGGCAGCTAAGAAAACTCAAAGGCTAAACAAGGCTCCTTCCCCAAGCTACCGAGCCATCAGCAGGAGCTGGGGAGAGGGCACACTCCTGCGGAGCTGCCCACAGGTCGGCCTAGGAGTCCAGGGTTGCACCTTTCATGAGTGGAACTGTAACAGGTTGGGGTTTTCTCTAATGAGCCACGGAGGCTTCTATCAGTGACCCCGATGAACTGACTGGCTTGCCAAGCTACACTTGGGTGGAACTAAAGCTTTGGGGGTGTTAATGGTGTCCTTCTGGGGTGAACAAATGTTTGTTCATATCTCTAGGATGAGTCTGGCTACGTGGTTCCCAGTAAAGATTTGAGCATATAAATAAACTTTAGCCTATAGGATTTTGTGCCTCTGATACACATTGCTCTGTCTGTTAATCAAATTCTAGTTTTCAGACAGATGTGTGATTTTTTTTTCTTTAAATACAGTTAGTGGTATGGACAGTCCTAAAGCTCTGTTCATCCTGGGGAGATAGCTCACTCCATGGAACATGGACTCTTGGATCTTAAGAAAAGTAATAGTCTGTGAACTGAACGAGGAACTATCGAAGGAGGCAGGCACACCCGTGTCTATCACATGTTTGGAGGTAATAACAGATGTCTTCTCAAAGCTTCACTTTGAGTCCATCATGTCCCTAAGGCTACAGAGGCACCAAAGTATCAGCTCTGAAATAATCATCTCCAGTCTTGTCTAGCTCCTTGCCCGGTGTCAGTCTGAAGTCTCACCGATCTTTCCCTGAGAAGCCATAGCTCTCCCCTGGCCTCCTGGCCTCCAGAGCTCTAGCTGCAGCTTCCCCGTTAGGGCGTTGTCCTCTACGAAGCTGAAGGGGGTTTCCGAAAGCCACGTCAATACTGATCCTTCTTTGCTTTGAATTTTTTCTGCGGCTCTCCTGATTTAAGGACAGTTTTGTCACCCTGGTCCAGGAGGCCATGCTGACCCTGGCCTCCACGTGGCATCCTTCTGTCCTTTCCTTGGGTTTTCACTCATCAGCTCTGAACTCAGGGCTCTGAGGGCTCCCCGGGGACCAAAGTTCCTTCCTGGCTGTGTCCTCTGCTCTTCTGGCTCCCAGTATCAGAACATTTCATCGAATCATTTGGAAATCAATGGCGTATGTGCACTCTTTTCCTTTCGTCTCCAAATCCAGGAGTCTATGCCCTGCCCTCCTCCAGCTGTTGCCTCTGACTGGAAAATTTCAGTTTATCCTCCCCTCCTTCCCTTTCTCCATCTTCTCTCTCACTCCCTCCTCTTTCTTCTTCTTTATTTTCTGCACTCGTAACCATCTTCTCATCCCTAAGACATGATGAAATGCTGAGTATTTGGGACTGAGTTCTGTGACCACAGTCCTAGATTCCCTGTCCCTTCTTCCTTTACAGGGCAGTTAAGCATGGTGTCCTTACTATATGTTAGCACAGAGACACACCGTACTGACTCTTGTTTCCCAGAATGCTTTGGTGTGACCCTACCTCAGATCTACTGTATCCGAGTATCCCCGAGCGGGGTCCAGGTCCGCATTTATCAAGGGCACTGGTGACTCTGATGTCTGTACATATGACAGCACAGCCACTTGCTCTAGGACACATTGAGAGGCATGCACAAGGCTGACTCTGGAGACTTCAGCAAGATGCAAAAAGAGGAAGCAGGCTCTTGATGGATGAGCAATAACCAAAATAATCAAGAAACAGTTTCACTCCCCAGTTGGATGTACATCTCCTTCCCCACCGGAGCACTCGGGCGCTCTCAGAGAATTTTAAGTTTCACAGTTTAGAACAACTGGCTTGTCAGCAACAGAAAGAGGGGTTTCTAATATGTTGCCTGTAATTCTTGTAAGAACTGCTTTGTATGGGGGTGGGGTGGGCAGCAAGGTCTCACTCTGTGACCCTGAAACAAACCAGGCTGGCCTTGAACACTTGGCAACCCTCCTGCTTCCTCACGTGCTGGGGTTATTGATGTGAACCATCACTCCCAGCTAAGAACTGTCTCCATCAGGCTGCAAAGTTATTCCAGCAATAAATCCCTTACTACGCATGTGCAATGTGCTTAGTTTTTATTCTTTCTGGTGAACTTTGTTTTCTAGTGAGAATATTGGTTATGACCAATGACCTTGGTTTGACGGCCAGCCAGTGGGTTGTGAGCTACAAACTGAAAAGCACTAGCACGGAGGAAGGATTGTGAGGTAGGGGCGCAACCACAAACCAGGGCACCACAGGCAGGGGACAGACCCTGAGTGAGTGGCAGAGACGAGAGCAGGGAAGGGGGAGCTGAGCAGTGCCAGGGACCGTGAAAGTTTTTGCAGGAGAGCTTAGCAGGCTCTGGTCATACCTGGGAGGCCAGCAGAGGGCGGCACCAGCTTCTCCGCTGCTCACTTCCTACAGTGCGTGCATTTCTACATTTGCATGATGGGAAACTTACGACCATGTGGCTCAGGACGTGTACTTATGAAACTGTAGGCCTCTGGAGTCCGTATTAACTCCTTGGAATTGGATTTCCCTGTCTGATGTTTTGAAAAGTGCTGCTTATTTTAGGCCACAGTTGCACTGGCATAAAACCTAACTTTCTGAGTCACCCAGCAGTCCAGGTCACCACATCACAGTGTGTCCCAATAAGATTGTTGAGTTGGTTCGGGTCATTTTGGACGTTTGTTTCCTTAGTATACCTAAGAAATAGGAGAGTTCCCAGATAAGAGTGTTTATTCTCTGGGGAGTGTGGTAGTGACAGTGAGCATGGATGCTGGCAGTTGAACTCTGGACCTCTGTGGTAGCAGCCAGTGCTCTTAATGGTTGAGCCATCTCTCCAGACTTTCACCCTTTACTTTCTAGTGAGGCCCTGAGGTGATGAAAGCGCTTGAGCCGGGATGAAAGGCTCGGGAAAGCCGTCTGGTCTGAACAATAACTACCAGTCTGTTTTATTTGAATAGTAAGACTTACATTTCTTTTTCTTGAGTCAGGGTCCCCAGATAGCGCAGTCTGGCCTGATCCCCCTGCCGCAGCCTCCTGAGTGCTGGGATTGCAGGTGTGTGGTACCCTAGCTGGCTCTAGGATCCCCTGGCTCACTTTCTAAAGTGAGATTGGGGATCGTATCAGGTAAGCCTAGCAAGGTAGTCAACAAAACTTAATGTCACTGAAGAATAGGGACCTGCTGAGAATTGGGAGCTTTTTATCATAATATTTAAAACATTATATAAGCGATTTTTTTTATCCCCCAAACCTGTCTGTTGGGTCCTTCAGCATCCTGCCCAGGTCAAGGGTAGCTCCAGGTCGTGGGGTCCAGGTCACCACATCACAGTTTTTCTTGATAAGATTGTTGAGTTGATTTGGGTCATTTTTGACGTTTGTTTCCTTAATATACCTAAGAAGTAGGAGAGTTCCCAGATAAGAGAGTTTATTCTCCAGGGAGTGTGATAGCAACAGTGAACATTTTGGTTTATTCTTTATTCCCAGTCTCCAGCCCCCCTCCACACACAACTAGGACAAATAAAGACCGTATTTGGACTAACCTCCCTAATCAGTCAAGAAAGTTGTTCAGATCTTTTGTTTTTCAAGTGCACTGGGGTGGCGGTTGGAACTCAGTTAGAGGAACCATGAGTGACTGCTGTAGACAGGCAGTCATTGCACACTCGTACTGAATGCCAACGGAAATGAAGACTCATTGGCCTCTTGGTAGGCAGTGTGCTAAGTGATATGAACTAGTCGACTTTATCTCACAGTGCCTCACGAGACTGCTGCTATCATCAGTGTGTTCATCGTAGAGAAGGAAGGGAAGACTGCGTATCACGTGGCCTGCACAGGTTCAGGCTGCACACAGGCCCCCGAGCCTCTCTCTAGCTTTCAGAATAAAATCTGGAAAGTCTCTGTATTCAAAAACCATTAAAACTGTACCTATTACCCTCAGGGCTTGCTGGCCAGTCCAGCAATGACAAATTCTGTCTCAAAAACACAGGGGGGTGGCACCTGAAGAATGACACTCACGGTTGACCTTTGACATCACAGTCGTATGCAGGCGCATGCACCATCACACACATGAGAGTGCACACGGAAACAAGAAAGTTCCTGTCTCTTTCATGGGGAGAGACAAGAAACTTTGAAAATCCACTCATTACAGAAGAGCACCTATCTTCAGTCATAATCCTTCCTGAGGCCTGGTTCCTGTTTTTTTCTTTTCGTGTACATGACAGTTAGAAGGCTCTACCACTGTGCTACACCCTTAGCTCAAGATCTAGAATTCAATCATGCTATTAATCAAAGCGGGGCATCCCCCAAATCAAATTCCAAACCACCACCTTTCTCAAAAAAACTGTAACTTGTCAGTTTCCGCATCATATTGACATTGGTGCTGGGACAGAAAATGGGAGGGCCAGAGAAAATGGATTTGTCACTGCGAATCACCTGACCGTTACTTACACAGACACTACTACTAAGGAAAACTTGGCATCCTTGAACTTCCGGTTGGTTCTCTAGATCTGATAGTTAGTCAAACAGTTAAGCAGAACTTGAACCAACATCTGTGTTTCTTTCCTGAAAACACTGTCACTGCCCTCAGAAGGTGCCCATGGCCTTGGCCTTGCTCCCACACCAACATCTCCCTGATGCTTCAGTTCCTGTGTGGGCGTGGGCATATGTGCCCCTGTGAGCATGTGTATGTGGAGGTCAGAGGTTGATATTTGTGTCTTCCTCAACCACATAACCTTATTTTTGGGAAAGAGTCTTTTACTGACCCCGAGCTCACTGACTGGCTAGGCTGGCTGGCCAGCAAGGCCCAGCGAGCCATCTACATCTGACTCCCTAATACTGGGGTTGCAGGCGCACATGGCCAAGCCCAGGCTTTCCACAGGTGCCAGACACTAGCTTAGATTCTGGTGCTTTCGTGGCAAGCATATGAGTCCTGGGTCACCTCCCCAGATCTTTGGTTCCTAAATTAAAGCAGTATCACTACTGTCTCTCTTCTAAGAGTGGCTTCCCCTGCAGCAAGGCTCTGCCTCCTGAGCCAGGGATCTGTCCATCACTCCCCCCCAAAGCATAAACAGTGTGGGCAAGCTTCCATAGCTTAATGATAACCCTTGCCTCTTTTTCTACAGTAATAATGAAATCAGTATCTCCACACCATTCTCCCAAGTGTCATGGGCAATGAGGACGTTTTCTGACTGCTTACATATAGAATTGTGACTTTGAATTACTTTTACAGACAGCATTGTGTTGAGAGGCTGAGCACTCCCTAAGTAAACACACACCTTCTCCAGCTCTTCTCTAAGATCCTGTGCTTTCAGCTACTTAATACTTCCTTCATCTGAATTTTCTTCTCACTTTCCACTGCCATTAACCATCCCTTCCTGGGGGAACTGTAATAGTTTCAAATTGTTCTCCAAACCAATGTTCTTTTTGCCTTTCCCACCGCATAGACATATAACCCATCATCTAGTGATGTCCCTTTTTCTTACCAGACTCTTTCACTGGGCTCCCCAAACCTTCATAAAAGACCCCAAGCTGTGGATTATGGCGGACACTGTGGTGCCAGCCTGGGTCCCCACCTCTTGCCTGCTCTTGTCATAATGTCGCCTGCCCTAGCCCTTGGGCCGAGCTGCGGGCTCTCTCCCTAAAATCTTTCTTCCATAGGGTCTCCCTGTGTAACTCGGGAGGGCCTAGAATTTTCCATGTACACCTGGCCTGAACTTTTGGCAGTTCTCCTGCCTCTGCCTCCCGAGTGTTGGGGTTACAGGTGTGTGCTACCTGGTCCCATCATAAACTACAGTCTCTCAAGCTCAGCACCTTTCTATCTTTTCTGGCCAGGCCCCACTTAATCTTTAAACGTAGCTTTCACTAGGCCAGAAGTCATCTTTTTATCACCGCCCTGCTCCATGGCATTCGCTACCCTGTATTACAATTGTTTTTTCTTCCTACAAATGAGAACTCTAAGGACAATCACTTTGCCTCTAGTCCCCCGCTCCCCAGCACTGTGCTCCTTTATAAACACTACATCACCAAAAAGCAGAACCAGCACTGACCACGAGGAAGTCATCTTTTTAACCTTGGGTCATTCTTACTAAAAATATTTGAAAGAGTCAACAAAGCTAGATAGCATCAACAAGGATATAGAAAAGAAGGAAGCATCAGTCATAGGTCACACTGGGTGGTTCCAGTGCAGGACCACGTGGTGAAAGACAGGTCTTGGCAGACTGATATCTTAATTATGAGACAAATGAAAGCCTAAGTGTGGGAGACGATATACGGTGGCAGAAGCAGAGCTTACACCCCACACCACTGTCTCTTCTCCGGTACAGCCGTCACCACTCAACGGGAAGTCTAGGGCCATCCGCAAGTCATTATTGCCATGAAAATGTATCTCAACAACTGCCTTCTTTATTACTCAGTGAAATGAGAAAAGCCCAGACACCATCATGCCCATCTGAAGCTGACACAGCTTTGCTGTTTGAGGGTAGGTAGGCAGTGTCTGTGCCCCCATGCCCAAGTCCCAAAAAGTTTGGCAGCAACTATGCCCTAAAACTGATCTTCATGGAGCAGAGGGTACTCGCTCATGAAGTCCTAGCTGGGTTTTTAGTCACTGTATGTGACAACTGTCAACCACACTGTACATGTAACAAAAAATGTTCTTTATAAGAGCAAAATTTAAACATCTGTAAAATTTTGTTTAGTATTTAAAATGACAGAATGAAGCCTGGCATGGTGGTGAACGGCTGTAATCTTGGCACTCAGGAGGTTGGGGCTGGGGCAATCACAAGTTTGAGGCCAATGTGGCATGCATAGCAAGATTCTATCTCAAAAAAAGAAAGGAGAAAGTAAGAAAGAAAGAAAGAAAGAAATTAGATGAAAACTAAAATAAAATGTAGTTCCAAATACTATAAAATGGGTATTTATTTTCTCAGGAGAGTATGAACTCTATACAAAATGTACATTATAACACAATTTGCTTGTGTCACAAATATGGCTTAAATACTCTGTTTTGATTTGGGGGGCTTCTTCAGAACCATTCTGTTGTAAAATTGTGTATGTACATACGACCTAGAAGTAGGCATGAAATTGTCTAGGGCGACTAACGGGAGAGGGAGAAGAGGAGGGGAGGGCATGGGGAAATACACGCGAGGTGTGGTATCTACTTATACGAGAACTTTTACAAAGAGATGCATCTTCAGAGGAGAAGAAGAAAGGCGAGGAGACAGCTCAGCAGCTCAAAGCAAACCTTTGCCACCAAGCCTGCCAGCCTGAGTTTGATCCTGGGACTTCGGTGGTGAAAGAGAACTGAGTGCTGAAGATCAACCTAGACCCTCCTGTGCACACGAAACAAACAAATGTAACTCTACGTAAAAGAATAACCATGTTTCCCTGAGGGCAGAAGGACAGCTCTCTGAATGGCCAGCAATGAGAGGGTAATATTGGGTGAACAGGAGCCCCAACCAACAATCTACACGGATGAAATGGCATAAGGAAATCTGTTTCATGTACTAATTTAAAATCACCAAGTTTGCCCTTTGGCCCTTAACTTGCGACACACTTAGATGCCATTGCTGGCATCCCTGTGGGGTACAGTCCCATGGGCTTTAGTGCAGATTTGTGTGAGCCCCAGTCAGAACACAGGTTCATCACTCCCCAAATATCCTTGCATTATGCTCTGCTGTCTCCCAACCCCTCACCTCTGACGAAGACTGGTCTGTGCTTCATTCCCATGGCTTTGCTTTTTTACTCGATTGTCATATAAACAACATCATAAGGTCTGTGACCTTCTGAAGCTGCCTTCTGTCACTCCCCAATGCCTTTGAGATTGATTCATATCCTGTGCAGCAGCAGTTCTTACTGCAGAGCAGATGGTATTATCCATGAAGATGTGCTGTCTGGGGGCTCAGGTAGCACTGTGTGTGCTTTGGAGCAGCTAAACTGTACACTTAACTAACAGAGTATTGTAAAAGCAAAATTTAAACATCTATAAACTTGTAGTTAGCATTTAAAGTGATAAAAGATGTTAGGCATGGTGATAGATGCCTATGACCCCACCATTCATGAAGCTGAAAGTAAAGGATCACAAACCTCAAATTATGGTTTCACACAGTTAGTTTATCCTTTCTTTATGTGGGTTGACTTGGTAAGTATAAACAAGGATATTATTTATATTTGCATATAGTTTTATGTAGTAGAAAAAAATGCTTTTGTTTATGTTGTATTTGTTTAACTCTGTGAAGCTGTGTTACTGTGCCTGTGTAAAATACCTAATGGTTTAATAAAGAACTGGCCAAGAGCAAGGCCAGAGAAAGGATAGGCAGGGCTGGCAGGCAGAGAGTATACATAGAAGAAGAAAACTGGGAGGAGAGATCTAAGATCTAGAGCCAGAGAAGGAGGAGAACT